CCTAATGGGCAATGGGCAAATTAAATGCAACAAAAAACAAAACAACCAACAACAACTTTTAGATAGGACCATATAACTTTAAATGCATCACTCACCAAGAAGCCACCCATCGCAATCCCTGCCAGCTTGGAGCCTCATCCCAACCATGCTGTTTGTAAGGATGTATGAATCATGGGTTGACCCAGGCCACCTTGCCACAATATTTGTTAGGTTTCCTATTAAATTCTTCTTCAGATGGCGCCTTTGTGTGACGTGTGTGCAGTCGATCGCTCCGATTACACCGATTACATCGGCTATCGCTGCAAATTGCGTTTTAATGTTTGGCTGGTCAACTGCATCGTATGGGAACCTTATATACCTGGTAGACAAGCGGATGATCCCGTCCCATACAGCTGGCATTGCGCGGCTCAAAGACGACTGGCATATTCCTGAGCGGTCTGCCAGTTCCCTTTGGAAAGAACCAGTTGCCAGGAAACCAAGTGTTGTCAGCACCTGTAAGGGAACGGGTAATGTGTGGCTCCTCGCTGTCTCTCTCTCCAAATTCGGACCCAACTCATCACAGAGCTCCAAGAGGATAGCCCTTGGAAATCTGAAACGACTGATAAGCCAGTTATCATCGTGGGCCAGAAAATCATTGTGGTCCCTAAAAACTCGTTCTCTTCGGATTCTGCCATTGGCAATGTCCTCTAATAAGGCTAACGCTGCCATTGCCATATAGACTAAGGTTATCAATTTGCACATGATTTTATATGTTCTCACTTAATTGCATAATTGATAGAATATTCCCATGAGGCTCGTGTGACAATAGTATGTCAATTATTTTATTAACTACAAATGAATAGCAATGTTTCTCACAGGTGGTTGTGAGATAGACTTGTAGAACAATTCGTAGTCTAATGTTTGCAACTTCACTTTATTGCCTCTAGGAGTCGCCAATGGACAAAAAGCACGAGAAATGTACGTACGCCAGACATGAAGTTGGCGTGGAGGAACGCGCATTCTCACATTAATTTCACTGTTAGTACATCTGTTAGTTTTGCCAGATTGCCCTTCATTCAAGTCTTCGGTTTACCCGCGCTCATAGCATTAGTACAGAATCAGTTGTCCAAAAGAACCAGTTTGGTTCAGACATGCTGTGTCAGTCATAGTAGGCAATCTGTTCGGTAGCTTCACGCTGAATCACGCATGCGCAGTTTCATCAGCTCATCAGTTCTCAAATCAGACATGTCCGAAAGAAACGGTTCTCGGTTGAGTGTACCGGTGATCCGAAAACCGATGCAACCGGTTCTTGACTCG